GGGGCTGGGCGGCCCTCCTGTGCATCGTGATGCTGCCAGGCAGGTTGATCTGAGGGGCCTGGGGACCCCTGGGAGCTGGGTCTCTCCGGCCAGAAACTCCTTTGGGAAGAGTAGCAGGGACCCAGTCTCCTGGCGATGAGCCAGGATTTATGATCACGTTACCTCAATATATACAAACATAAGGTCAGATAGGACCTTATGCTTCTGAGCCTCGTAAACTATAAAATGCCAGTAAAATTACAAATCAGGGAGAGAAAAACCCACAAGACACACACAATTTAGATTAATAGCACAATGAAATTCATAGTTTATTTAAAATGAGGTATGTTTTTTTGTAGTAAGATGTACATAAAATTTACCCTTGTAGCCATTTTTGAGGGCCACTGAGCGCATTCACACTGTTGGGTAGACACCCCCACCATCCGCATTGACAGGCAGGTTTGGGGACTCAGGAGGCCTCGCACCTGCGTGATGCCTGGGGTGACTCAAAGGGCCCGGGATGTTTTTCTGTTCAAGCCGTACCACGAAAGCTCCATCCACGGGTCACGTGCTCTGGCTCAGTGAGGACTCCACTCAGGCACTGAATCGGTCTCTGTTCCTTGGTGAAAATTAATGCGGTTAGCACACACATGTGACGCCTGCCGTCCATGTCACTTAGTCGGTGACTTAAGACACAGGGCTTCTTTGATAAAAGGGGATCTCCACTGCCAATTTTCCCTGTAGAAGGGCAGTCCTGTCTCTATCAGCGTGTGTGGGGTGACTGGCCATCTTCACGTGAGCAAATGCTGCTCCAAGTCCCACTCGCCCGCCGGCTCCCAACATAACGCACAGCATCACGTGGCTAGAAAGCCGTCAGCAAGGTGACTCAGAGTCGGTATCATGGAAATACAAACACAAAACTAAAACAGATGCAGAGAGCTTGCGGTTGCTAAGAACAGTCAGGGGTCTGTAGTCGGATTCTGCTTTTGTCTGGGGCCTGATGGAGGGTGGGGTCCTCGAGAGAAGGGATGGGGTCCATGGGGGGGATAAGAGGGGGCGGAAAGGAGAGGCTGTTATATATGGGATCGAGACCCGAGGGGGAGGGGGCCTGGTCTGCACCTTTGGCAACTGGGTGGATTGTGGTGCCAGGTGTAGAAGTGGATGCAGGCAGGGGGAAATACGGAGTCTGCGTGCCATGGGCAGAATAATGCCTGACCCCCCACGATGCCCACGGCCTGATCCTGGACCCGTGAATGTGCGCTTACATGGCAAAAGGTGTGGCCCCTCGGCAGCTGACAGTAGGGGTCTGGGGTCTCAGAGAACCATGTGGCAGGCACCGGGGACCTGGCGGGTGAGGCCGAGGGCCTGGCTTCCCTGGGTGCTGAGTGGGAAGAGGGTTCTGGACATGCAGGGACAGGGTGTGGGGTCTGCGATGCGGTGGCCAGAGGAAGAAACAGCGGGAGAAAATGTCATGCAATTATCAAGACAAGCATCAAATGCTGCGGACGTTGAGCAAGAGACCACAAAGTACACAATGGGTTTGGCAACCTGGGACCTCACAGGTACAGCTCGGCGGGGGGTGGGGTGGGGGGTGGGGGGTGGACACAGGGAGTGGTCCTGGGGTGCTAGGGAGGAAGACGCAGCAGGGGACGAGATGGGACGGGGGAGGGTCTGCCTCGACCCTGCCCCAGTGCAATCCTCCAAAAGGGTCTGGAAGGGCCTGACAGGGCTCCATGTGTATGCATGTCCACAGCCCAGGAGGGCTGGCTGGGGTGGGAGGGCAGAAGGGGAGGGTATGAAGCCGGGAAACCGGGGGGGAGCATGAGACTAGGGAGTTGGCCCTCTCTTCCAGGAAACACTCAACCAAACTCCCCTTCATTGGCCTGAAATCTCCCACAAAGCATTTACATTTGGGCCTTTGCCCCGTCTTTCTCAGGAGATGACTTGTGTGCAACCTCTACTGGAAGTACAACTCGCACAAAAAAAGTCTTACAAAAAATATAAATGGAACATGAATTGTTTTTTTGTGAAGTTGCCATGACAAATTCCTCTAAAAACTGTAGCCACTCCCCTAGCCAGGGCGGGGTGTCAGTGGTCCCATCACAAAGGTCCTAGTTCCAATCAGATGTCAGTCAGACCCGCCCCAGAACACCTTCTCCCTTGAAGCGCTGGTTCCAATCATCGGTGGGGAAAATGCTCAGATGTGAGAGTGACAAGCGACATCTCAGGACCAGCGGCCACGGGCTGGCCCCATTGTAGTGAGATCATGAGGAACAGAACCTCCGCGGCTCTGGGTGAAATGTCACTGCTTGTTTTTGAGGTACCTGAGGAACAAGTTGCCACAGATTTGGGCAAGCACTTTTTATTTGCCGAATCATCCCTTTTTAGGGTGATGAAGCCACAAGGGGCAGAGCCAGGGGTGGACCCCATGCTCCGTGGCTCTCTGGGGACACTCCCACCAAACAGTCCAGGTTACACCTATTCCTGTATCTGGTGGACAATGAAAACACATTACAGGAAACGTAGAAAATAAAGGAAGTATAAATATCACTTAAAAACAATCATTCTCAAAGATTTGCCGTGCACCTTTCCACTTCCAGCGCCCATGTACGCATTTGTGCTTTTGCTATAGGCTTGTGTTTACTTTCATTACACTTTCCCTTTCGTTTCACAAAGTAGGGAAGCTATGTGGTTCCTGAGGGCAGGCTGCTTGTCCTGCTGTCATGCCCCAAAGCCTGGCACGGTGCTGGTGAGGGCGGAAGCCTCCGGCCCGCAGATTTGTGAACTGGCCGAACAAATGGGTGCCTCCATCTGGCTCCACCAGCATCTGCTGGGGGGCAGATGCTTGTGCAGGTGCCCGTCACCAGGCTCTATGGCTCTGCCTTGGTACGGGGGCCGGCCCACCCCCGGGCCCCCGGAAATGGTTGGCGGGCATGGCCTACAGGTGCAGGATGGAGCCTCTCTTTGCCCACCATCTTTTCCAAGTCTCGGAATCAGATCTCAGCCTCGAGAGGAGGTCCCGTGCGGTGTTCCAGAGCCCAGCTCCGTCTCCCTCACCGTGTGGCCAGGAGCTGCTCTCCATGGAGGTCCCGGGGTGTGAGTGCGGGGGTGGGGGGGGTGGTACGGGATGACATCCGGTGCCTTCACAGTATGCAGGACTTAGAGACGGGCCAAAGGAGCGAGCTGGTGGCAGAGCTGGGGACCAGGCCCTATCTGCTCGCTGGCCATGGAAAATTTCAGGTGCAGAAATCACAGGTCATCAAAGCCTCTATCATGACTCGTGGTGTGATGGACGGCTGGGTGCTTCTTCCGGGTGTGAGAGGCATGCAGGGGGACGTCGGGTGCATGTCAGGATGTCTGGCATTTACCCTTTCAGTAGCTTATCTCATAAGCCATGAGCGAATGGAAGACCTCTGAAACCTGCCTCTGTTCAAGAAATAGGGACGTATTTTTCAGCAAACCTACTTCCCAAAGCTACCCGTCAGCCAAGCTTCTGACATTTATCGACAGTGCCGACGTGTCTGTTATCCACAGAGCTAGCTCTGCCCCTCCGCCTGAAGAGCAGGGGTGCTGGCCGGCAGGTGGGGAAATGCACAGGGCACCACACAGGGCCAGGCCGCGCCGGTGTGGGCTTGAAACAGGCTCAGGGCCTCGGCGGCACCCTGAGCTCGTGAACTGCTTAAACTTGTATTCCTGGCCAGGAGCTTGAGGTCTACAGTGCAGGGCCACGTCTCTCTCATTTCCTGTGGTGGCCCCAGCCCTTCGCCATGCCCGGCACCGGCATGTACTTGCTGAAGGCGTGCAGGGGCTCAAAGGCTGGTCCATAGCTTAGCAGGACAGTGTGCCCAGGACCTCAGCCATCTAAGGCCACGGTGGCATGGCATGACATCACGTGTGGCTTTCCCAAGGTCACAGCTGGAAGGCCTGAACGAGGGACGGCCACTTGGCTCTCTGATGCCCCTCAGCAGCAGGTGGGCCCGAAGCTGGTGAAAGGTAGCCTCTAGCAAGACCAGTCTGCTGTGCGCAGATGCTCCCCTTGTTAGTGGCTCCTGGAGCTGTTATGAAGTCCAGCTACCCTGTTCACGGCTCAGCCTAAGAGAAGTGGCAAGGGGTACTGAAATTGACCACAATGGGACTTTCGAGAATATGAGAAGTGAAGTAATCCTTAATAGGAATGTAAAATTCTTTGTAATATGGAGTTTGCACTGTAAAGGAATAAGCTTTAGCAGGGTTACCTTAGGAGCAGAAAGACCACTTTTTAAAATTACAGGACTCTGTTATCAGAATGGTGATTCTGACATAAAACAGTAATAAGCTGTGGCATCGCAGAAGTCCTAGTATTTCTAAGGACTGACGTTTGTAGAGCACTGGCTGTGTCAATCACCCCTGAGCACTTAACAGTCGGCCTGCGATGGCAGGCCGTCCTCCCCAGTCTTACTACCCCCTCCCGACAGCCTCAAGGGCCAGGAGCCCACCGGGCATCCCCTGGTGTACAGGTCTACGTGGATGGCCTCAAAGCCTCTGGCCAACTGTGGCAGCAACAGAGTGACCCGGGGTGACCGTGTGGGCTCTGGAGCCTGACAGCCTCGCTTCCACCCTCAGCTCGCCCCCTGCTACGGACTTCCTCCAGCCGCCAACTGCACACAGGTCCCCCACCCGTAGAGTAACAACACTGATCACTGCTGACTCTGACGTTCCTTCTATGTGCTGGGCATGGACCCAAAACTTCCTCCTGCAGACACTCACTTCCAGGGACAAAAGGCTCTCCCCCTCAAGGGCGATCATGAGGCATGAATGAAAGCATCTGCACGGTGCCCGAAGCCCTGCCAGGCATGGAGCAAGCACTCAGTGAATGCTGGCTCTGAGAGGTCAGCCGTGGCTCGAGCACTGGGGTCCCTCGTCCTGGCTCACTGCTAGGTCTTCACAGCACCGGTGCGCGGAGGCACTTGGTCAACCTTGGTGGGGGGACCCAAGTTCGGGCTGTGTGGATGCCCTTGGGCCCCTGGAGAAGAGCAGCTGGGTCACCAGGGGGTCCCCAAGGGCCCATCTGAGTCGCAGGACGTCAGGGACACGGCGATGCTGCTGCCATCACCTCTACTGGGCACGTTCTCGCCCTCGTTCTCGAGGCCCCGGGCCTGCTGATCCTCCACGATGAGGTCGGCCACCAGGTTCAGCTGGCAGGCCCTGAGCGCCCTCACCAGGTGCGACACTGTCACATCCTCCCTCTTGGTGCTCTTCCAGACTCTCAGCGACTCCCTCACCTGCTCTGTCAGATTTCGGGGATACTTCTCCTCAATGGCATCGATCTTGGTGTCCGTCACTTTAAGGTGCCGGGCCAGTCTTCTCCAGTCCTTCCCCACATTATCACAGATGATGTCAAATGCGGCACGCAGGTCTGGGGAAAGAAGAAAATGATTTACCAGAAGTTTGGGGAGCTCGTTAGGAGACAAGTAACCCCATACTCCCAGTGGGCTTCTTGGTGCTGACCTAAGTGCTGGGGATACAAGAGGTCCTCTTGCAGAGGCTGGAGTCACCCAGCAGTAGAGGGGCCAGGGGAAGGTCAGAGAAAACCCAAGGGGGGGCCTCCAGTCCTGCCGCCAGCCTACTCCAAAACTGCCCAAAAGGTGTGGCCCTCTGAAGAGGTGATGGCTGGTGCGGGTGGTAGTGCAGCTAACTGCCTGGGCGGGGGAAACTGAGGGAGGGCCTGGGAGTTGTCTAAAGGAAGGAAATGGAATCACTCCCCCATCCTACCCTGTAGTTAAGTGGTGGCCCCTAAAAAGTTATGTCCACCTCAAATCCCTGGCACTGTGAATGTTAACTTATTTGGAAAAGGGTCTTTGCAGATGTGATCAAGTGGAGGATCCTGGGATGAGATCATCCTGGATTATCCAGGTGGGCCCTAAATACAGTGACAAGCACCCTTAGAAGACAAACAGCAGAGGAGGCCGTGTGATCATGGAGGCAGAGATGGGAGAGATGTAGCCATTTGCCAAAGAATGCCCAGAGCCTCCAGACTCCGGAAGAGGCAGAAGGATGCTGTCCTAGAGCTTCCAGAGGAAGCCTGGCTCTGCTGACAATGTGACCTTTGACTTCTGGCTCCAGAACTGCGAGAGAATCGGTTCCCTGTTGCCTCAAGGCCTCGAGTTGTGGTCTTTTGTATGGCAGCCCCAGGGCACTAAAACCCAATTCTTATTTTGGAAGCTGCCTGGACTGACCACCAGTCTTTGGTCCCTGGCCACCATGTCCTCATCTGCTGAAAGGTCACGACTGAGACCAGCAAGTGGGGCACTACCGACCCTAACAGGCAGTTTCTGGAATGAGGGAGCAAGCAGAGAGGAAGGACAAAATGCTGCTCAGAGGGCCCCCGCAAATGTGTATCTTCAGCTACAGAACCCCAGGATGCCGTCAGTCTGTGTGCCTACTCTGCTCCGGCCCCCTGGAGGTGGGCAGGTGGGCACCTGTGTTACTGTGACCACTGGTACAGAGGGGGAAACTGAGGCACGGGGAAGCAAAGTGATTTTCCTGATGTCATACAGCTAGACAACGGCACAGCCAGAAAGCGAAACCCTGACAAGTCAGGTGCCGGTCCACTCGACCAGGACGCTATCCCGTCTTTTGTGTGAGAGTAATACAGGACGGGCCCTCATCAACCCACCCCTACCTGTTAATCTCTGGTGTACTCTCCTGCAACACACAGTATCTACACACGTACAAACACAGACGGACACAGAGAAATCTAAAACGTTCTGATCTGTGTTTTGTGGGCTGCCTTTTAAATGTATTATGGCAACAATCTCCCATCCATTGAATGTCCTTGAAAACATAATTCTTCTACGTCCTGTTCTGTTTGCACAGCACTGAGTGTGTGTATATGTTTATATACGGGTCTTTACGGAGTTAACACCTGCGCTGTTAGAGGTCTACCCTTTCCCTTTGGTGACCGAAGGACTGATGCCAGGCCAGAGCTTCAAGCCTATGAGGATGTCCCCGAAGCACTCCCCATCACCCCCTCCCAGGGCTCTGAGAACACAGGGGTGTGACTGAGAAGCCCTGCTCTACCCAGGTCTCATTTTTACTCCTGGAAACCTCTGCAAGCCCCAGGTGAGGGTGGAAAGTGGGGATGCCTGAGCACAGGGTAGGAAGCCACACAGAACTGACCTGGTCAGAGAGGCCTAGGTGCCAATACCACCTAGCTACCCACGGCTGCCTCAGGTCAGTCCTAGTTAGCAAGGGCTGTGCATCTTAGGCTCCTCACTTCACCTTCCAGCCATGGTCCTCCGGCTTGTAAGACATGAATAATAGCAGAACCTAACTACGGGGATATCGTGAAAACTAAACAGCTGGGCTAGAGGCATTTTCAGTACTGTTCTGACAGCGTCAAGGGCACAGTGGGGCATTCCCAGAGGCAGAAGGAAAACGAAAGCAGCCGCAGGCTCACCTAGCTCCTCCCACCCAGAGGAGGTGAGCAACGCCCTTTCCTTGGAATGCTTTCTAATTAAGCCGGAGGAAGGGGGGGTGATAGCAAAAATACTGAACTGGGTGTGTGTGTGTGTGTTTTCACGTTTTCCAACCCAGAGTAAGTTAACTTTTATGAGCTCTGGCTCTCCCATCTGCAAAGTGGGCAGTTCACCTGTCCTCCAGGAGTGCTGAGACAAAATCTGCGCAAATTGAACCTGAGAAAGGTTTGGCGCGGCTGACGGGCCACAGCTACTGCCGGGCAAACTGGCCCCGCCTCCCCCGGGCTCGGTCAGTCCCCTAGCCTCCCGGGCCCCGCCCCGCCCCTCCTCCGGGTCCCTCGGTCCCCGGCCCCCCGCGCCCACCTCGCTCCTCCGGCGGGGCCCTGCCCGACGCGCCCGCCTCGAAGCTGTCCAGGCGCTGCAGCAGGTCCTGGCGCCGCAGGGAGACGAGCAGCTCGCGCAGTAGCTCGGTGTGCTCGGAGTCCAGCTCGTTCTGTTCCAGCAGCACGTTGAAGAGGTCGAGGCCGCTCTGCATGCCCTCCAGCTTCCTCTTGCCCACGCGGCCCCGGCACAGGAACTTGAGCTCGGTCAGCTCGTCGTTCGACAGGCCGATCGACACCGAGTGCAGCAGCACCAGGAACGGGTCCATCGTGGCGGGCCGTGGGGGGGGCCCAGCCAGGCCCTCCGCGCGTGCCCCGCTCCGCCCCACCGTCCGCTCGGCGGCCCGGCGGCCCCCGCGGCCCCCGCGGCCGGGCTTCCCCGCCGCACAGCCCGCGCCACTGGCCCGGGTTCCTGAGCCCCACTACCGGAAGTCCGCGCCCACGCTCACTCTGCCGAGGTCTCGCGAGAACTCTGGGACCCGCGCATGCGGCCGGAGAGCTCGCGGCGCCGGGTTGGAGGGCTTCCGCGCCTGCGCCCTGCGGACCATCACCCGCCCAGTGAGGCTACTGTGGCCCCGGGGTCCGGAGACCCAGGCGCGGGCTGAGGGGGTGGACCTGCGTTTCCTGGGCAGTGCTGCACTGCGGATGCCGATAATAAATGCTTCTATTATTAACATTTGTGAGAGTGCGAAGGGTCTTTTAATGCTTCCTGGGCAGAAAAGACGGTTCAGAGGTTTATTGAAGTTGTAAAGTTTGATAATATTTCGTTTTTATAGTCATTTATGCGTTCGAATGCTTTTAGTTTATTGAGCGCCTACTGTGTGCCAGGCAGTAGGTGCTGGGAACACATTTGGGAGCAAAGAGCAGAAGTGCCCGCCTGCCGGGAGCTACGTCATCGGTACCCAAGCTTACATAATACAGATAAGAAAGTCGTGCAGCACGCCGGAAGTTAGTTAAGAGCCAGGGCAAAGAAGATAAGGGGATGGGGAGTGTGGAGGGCGGGGCACGATCAGAGGGGTTGGTCAGGGCAGGCTTCACTGCGCAGGTGCAGGTGCAGGTGCAGGTGCAGGTGCGGGGACCAGGGGCAGGGGCGTGTTGGGGGCAGGGAAAGGGTGCGGGCGGGGGCAAAGCCACAGGCACTGAGAGCGGAGGTTCCGGGAACACCTGGAGGACCGAAGGGTCTGTAGCAGAGAGGGGGGTCGGCGGGCGTTGCCAGAGAGGAGAGGGGAGGGGTGCATTAGGAGGGTGCCTCACGGGCCAGGTGCAGACCCGGCTTTACTGCTCGTGAGAGGAGCCCCTGCAAAGTGCGAGCAGAGGAGTGAAGCCATCGAGTGTCCTCAAAAAAAAAAAAAAATATATATATATACACACAGATAAATACACATATACACATACACATAAATATTTAATTGAGATAGAATTCACAACCCATCTAACTTACCCGTTTAAAGTGTACATTTCAGCGGATTTTAGTATATTCATAAGATTGTGCAAGCCTCACCATTAGGTAATTTTAGAAATTTTCATCAGCCTGCGTAGAAACCTGCTACCTATTAGCAGTTACTTCCTTTCCTTCCTCCTCCGCTCAGTTCCTGATAACCACTACTTTATTTTCTGCCTCTTTGGATTTGACTATTCTGGACATTTCATATAAATGGGACCATACACTATGTGGCCTTTTGTGCCTGGTTTCTTTCATTGGGCAAAATGTTTTCAAGGCTCATCCATGTTGTAGCACGTGATGGTTCTCCATTCCTTTTTAATGAGTCAAGTAGTAGTCCATTGAACAGATGGACCACATTTGTATATATCCAGTCATCAGAGGATGGACATTTTGTTTCCACTGTTAAAAACCAAAACTCAACTGAGTAAATTTGAAGATCTAATTGACTTTATTCAATAATTCATGAACCAGACAGTATCCCATGTAGCAAGTAGAAAGCTCTGGGGAGCGGAGTGTACAAAACAGAAGGTTTTTATAGATAGAAGGGGAAGAAAAGGAAGTTTTCTAAGGAAGAGTGGATTGTTCTGGCAAGGTCACCTTCCTTTGGGAGAAGGTGGAGGTCTATCATGCAGATCACCTCACTAGTGCCCAGCAGGGAACCCCAGATTGTCTGGTTTGAGGTTACATTTCTGGGAGAGGGTGGAGTCTTGGTTTGCTGTTGTGGGGAAAAGTGACTCCGTTTTTGGCCCGTTGTTCTTTTTTTAACAGCACCTTTTGGCTGTTACGAATAATGCTGCTATGAACCTGGTGTTACATTTTTAGAGGGTCACTCTGCCACTGTGTAGAAGCTAAATAACCCTGATGAGAGATGAGGGTACTTGAACCAAGAGCAGGGGTGGGGATGAGAAGGGGGCAGCCTTCTTTGGATTTGGGGGTGTACGTAATGGAGAGGTACTGAGGACCCTTGTAAAGTCTGAAGGCTGGAGGAAGTCCCCTGACTGATCCAGGTGAGGTATGGGTGGGTGGGGGGGGGGTTGGGGAGGACCTGCTAGAGATGTTGATTGGACAGTGGCATGCACAGGACAAGGGTTTGGAATCAAGACCTGGGCAGGAGATGTGAATTGGGGAGTATTCAGCAGATAGATGTGTGTGTGGCGGTTAATTTTAGGTGTCAGCTTGACTGGGCTAAGGGCTGCCCGGTAGCTGGTCAACCAGATCTGGGTGTGTCTGAGGGTGTTTCTGCAAGAGATGAGCATTTGAACTGATGCTCTGAGTGAAGCAGACGGCCCTCCCCAGTGCGGGTGGCATCATCCAATCTGTTAAGGGTCCAAATAGAACAAAAAGGCGGAGGAAGGGAGAATTTGCGTTCTCTGCTTGAGCACCATTCCCCCACCCCATTTTCTGGCATTCACACTCAGACTGAACTTGACCCTGGCTTTTCTAGGTCCCCAGCTTGGATTTCTTGGCCTCCATGACCACTCGAGCCAATTCCTATGATAAATCTCTTGTACTGATCTCTATATAGCCTAACGGTCCTTTTGTCTGGAGAGCCCTCACTGGTATAGTACTTAGAGCACTTGCAAGGTGAGGTCATCTATGTGGAGGGAGCAGACAGAAAAGAGGGTCAAGGGCTGAGCCCTGTGGTGTCCAGCTTTTCAGGAGAAGTGCAGGGGTTTGTGAAGGAGGCTGAGAAGGAGCCCCTCGAGGCAGGAGGTCAACCAAGGAGAGTCAGACCACACCCCTGCTGGCAAGTCCTATTTCTTTGTCCCTTGCACGTCTCTTGTCTCCTGATTTACCATATACTTGGCTTCCTGCTCTGCATTTTTCACCCATCTCTCCGGCTAGAATGTGACACTTGGAGGCAGGGTCCCATCCTCCGCATCCTTGCTGACTCTGATTACTTTCTGTTTTTGGATCATAGCCATCCCAGTGGGTGTGAGGTGGGATCTCCTTGTGTTTTTAATTTGCCTTTCTCTGGTGACTCATGGTGCTGAGCATCTTTTCATGTGCCATTGGCCATTCTGTCTACTCTGGGGAAATGTCTGTTCAAGTTCTCTTCCCATTTTTCTTTGGGTGGCTTGCCCTTTTGTTGTTAAGTTGAGGAGATTCTTTATATAGTCTGGATACGGGTCCCTTATCAGAAATACGATTTGCAAATGTTTTCTCCCATTTTGTGATTGACACTCTGCTGATTGTGTCCTTTGATGCACAAAAGTTTAAAATTTTGACCAAGTCCATTTTATGTATTTTGTTTCACTTGGCGTTGTGTCTTTTTTTTTTTTTAATTTTAAAGAGAAAGCATTTGTTGGTTTCATGGATGCAAATTGATCTTTGGGAGGACAGTGAGCAGAATCATTTCCTTTCTGTTTCTCCTTGTATTGTTTCAGTTTCCCCTGGGTGCTTTTTCTTTTGTTTCGGTCTCATTTATGATGAAGCCTTTCCTCAAATATCCAGGGATTCTGGGCTTTGCTCGGGGGTAGTTAGTCTTTTCCAAAGAAAAAGACCCTTTCCTGACGATGGAAAGGGGTATATGGTAGGGCAAAGAATGGCCCCCCATGATGTCCACATTCTAATTCCCAGCCCTGTGAATATAAGTTAGTTTACGCGGAAGAGGACGTGATAAAGATCCAGGTCTGGAGCTGGGGAGATTGTCCCGGATTATCTCCGGGGACCTAGTCTAACCAGGAGTCCTCATAAATAGGGAAGGACTCGCCCTGATGGCTGGCTTGAAGATGGTGGAGGGGGTCCAGCCTTGCAGGCAGCTCGATTGTAGCCCAGCGAGTCCCGTGTTAGATGTTCGACTTATGGAAACGTAAGATAATACATTTGTGTTGTTTTAAGCCCTTAAGTTTGTGGCCATTTGCCCCTGGAAGCAAACAGAACATTAGCACAGACCCCGCGGGCTACGGCTTTTCCTTCCCCGGTGCAGCTCCCACAGGCAGCCAGCAGAGGGCAGCAGCCACAGGCAAGCAGAACCAGGCTCTCACGACTGTGGCTGGAAGCCAGGGCTGCGAGACAGAACCAGTCACCACCCGGTGAGGAGGGGTGACCAGAGGCTGCTGAGGGGGCGTGACTTTCTGAGTCCTGGCTACAGGTGTGTGTGGAAGTTTACTGCACGCATAAGAGGTACAGTTTTCTGGATGTCATACTGCAGTAAAAATGTGGGGGGGGGCAGGGAGAGCTGGGAGGGGGCAGGGGTAAGGGGCGAAGAGAAGGGGGGATGAGAACGGAACACAGCAAATCAATGACTTGGCAGAAACCTCAGCATCTACAAGGTTTGCCTTTTCTCCAGGGATGCAACCCTGGCAGGCTCCTGGCGGGGGCAGCAGACACCAGCCCATCTGAGGAAACGCGGTTAAAATGCCTGGGCTGGTCCAGGTCAGTGTTTCAGGCACCGCCCACTCCTCTGCCAAGAGCTGTGTGAGGGAGCAGTGGGTGAGCTGCCTGCCATGGACATATCTGTGGTCCAGAGGCATCAGAGCCTTCCATATACCCCTTACCTCCTCTGCCAACACCCCTGCCAACTTGACTCCGAGATCCCCTCAGCTCAGAGGCAGAAAGACCCAGTTGTCAGTCTATTTGCCATCCCCATCCATCTGTCCTTCCATCCACCCACTCATCCATCCATTCACTCATCCATCCATCCATCCACCCATCCATCCACCCATCCATCCATCCACCCATCCACCCATCCATCCATCTCTCCCTCCCTCATTTATTCATTCATTCAGCACTTTCTGCTGCCTCCTCTGTGCTTGGCACTGTACCAGTGCTTCTTATTGATCTGTTTTCTGGCAAGAGTTTGCCCTTTTTTACTTTGCTGTG